AAACTAGTTATGCAGTAATAAAATGTCAACAAATCATAATAACCTATGCAGTAATTACATGTTGGGTCGCTTGGCATGGAATGGTGTAGCGACTGCCACCTTCAGAACCATAAGAAAAAAAATCAGAAACTAGAACCATAAAAAAAAAAAATCAGCTGACCTGTGTGGACGGAGTCATCTGACGCACTGCTCCTCATCATCAGGGGTCCTTTTGATTGCGAAATGGCAAAGAGTAGTGATGGACCAATAAGGGTGGCTCAGATGATCCCGCCCAAACTGTTAGCTTGGAACGGATCCTAATAATATTTCTCGTATACCTGAACTAATTCTTCCTCTCTTTCTTTCAATTCCCGTTGAATTGAAGCATGTTCCATGTGGTATTTCCTTTCAATTTCCTCTTTCTCTCTCTTAATTAAGAACTTCATCTAAAAAAAGCTGCAGCGCTGCTATCGAAGAGCAACAAACCTCATACATAATATCGATCATTTCCAGTTCATCTGCCTGCTTTTGATGGAATTCACGAAGTTTTTCCAGAAATTTCGGATGTTTACCGGCTTCAACCAGCTGTAGTTCTTTCTGCAGCTCAGATATCCGTTCTTCACTGAATGAAAGTCACTTGAGTTGAAAAATTCTTTTTTTACAGCAGAAATTTGAATAATTCGCACAGCCAGGGGATGTACCAAACGGACCACGAGCGAGGGATGTGGTCCCTCCAACAACCGCCTCACTGGGCATTAATCAAAAATCTGTTCTCAGTTCCTCGAGGTGGGATCGAAACAAAGATTGGAGCAGGTGCCGCTTTGAAGTGATCCGTAAAGGGTCCTGTGCCTTAAAGTCAAGGAAGGGTACTGCGAACCTATACATAGTTCTAGGCTTCATTCGTCTTCAGTGAATTGTTCTGACTAAATAGTGTCTTACTTGTGTTCAGCTTGTAAACTTAGAAATGGCAATAAAACAAATAGAAAAACTATTCTTACTGTGAGATGGTCGGCTTCGGCATAGGGGTGACACTGGCAGAATTTTCTGAAAAAGAAAGCTTTAAAGTGAAATTAGGTGAAATGCATTATAACACCTTCAACATACCGTTATGGGCCGGTGGAGTGCCATAACAATCGGTTTCTTCCTTTACGCGCGGCTCCGACAACCTGTAAAAAAGGAATCCAAGCAGATGTGCTATTAGTAAGTACTGTGAGTAGGTTAAACCTACTCCCTTATCTACGATCTTGCTAATGTTTCCAAACTTTCTATTTCGTTATTCCAGAATTTTCAAAAAAATGCCCTCAAGCGGTCGGGGAGGAGTATACAGCGCATAATGAATATCGGAAAAAGTCAAAAATGGCAAAAAGGCAAGAATTTTCAAAAGTTCATACCGTTCCGAAAAATTCCAAGGCCCCAGCAACCAGCACCGAGCAAATACGACGACCCCCCTCCCCCCCCCCGTCACATAGAGCTATCCAGGCGATCCACATACGCGCGTGAAAAACCGAAAATCATGAAAGTTTTTCGGTTCAAATACGCCCCCCCCCCCTCCTCCCCGCTCCGCGACCAGGTACGACAACCTGAAGGATTCTCGCAGCGATGACGGGCTGTAAGAGGGGAGTTGGACACCACAGTATTGACAGAGTTTCGGAATATCTGTGTAACTTCGAGTGATTCGGTGACCCGATCAGGTTTCGATCCGAGCTTTCCATGGTGTCTCCTTATCCATTTAATCCCACCCCCCCCCCCCCCGCAAAAAAAATTATGTCAGGTCGAATTGGAACAGTTAGTGACTAAGGCGACAATAATATGTAGCCGGTTCAAGCAGAGACGTACACACAGAAGTACGTAAGAGGGCGCAGACGGCACAAGAAAATGTTGGCAAACCTCTCAGTCCTCTCTGCCTGAAGTGAAAGCTACTACTGCAGCCGCACTCACAACTAAGCCCGCGGACAGTGCCCTCCATCTCTGAGGCAGCGTTCAGACTTCGCGACGGCAGCGCTTCAGTCGCGCGTTCGACGCGATCGATGCAGTCGAAAGCATGCGCATCGATCGCGCCGAACGCGCGACCGAGGCGCTGCCGTCGCGAAGTCTGAACGCTGCTTGAGGTATTGCCTGCATGTTTTCGTCTCGGTAATCGATCCTGCTCCTCTCGTTTGAGAAGGATTTTCTTTCTCACTACAGTAACCACCTCATTGACTGCGCGGTTATCTAGGAAACCCAAGTTAACTATTAAAATACCTTTCCATTGCGGATGGGCTATCAAATCTGGAAAGGGTTGATGAGGGGATCATTGGTGAAGCCGTTGAACAGCGAACAGGAGTACCGACATCGTTGACAACTGAATAAAAGACTGATCAATAGTTTCACTGAAAAAATAAGAAATCTAAAGCAATAAGTATACCAGCTCTAAAGGAAAAAGACAATTACCTGGACCGTGTTTGCTGGGAGTCACCAAACGCACTGATGCGCATCTCCTTTTTGCCGCCGACGGCACACTCATCAGCGCTCACGAAAAATGTACAGTGTAACTCTAAAAACTCTGAATTTCTCAATCTGAATGTTTAGACACAGTAAATTTGACTGAGCGCGAGGAGGTAGTCAGGCTCAAGTACATAAAACAGAGAGCATGATCCATGTTCACCGCGGTTAGGGTCATCAAGAATCCAACCACATAAAAACGGGCCGTGCTGCTTGAAGGGGGCAATTTGCCTTTTCGCTAATTCCTCTGGCTGGTAAATTATAACTAACAGGTCAACACCTGAAACTCTTAACACCTACAGATCTTCAATGTGGCTGGCACAAACTTATCCAAAGTAACATTTCGTGCCACTATCAAGCCAAACTGCACCGAACAACACTCATCGTTCCCCAAGTGCCAAGGGGTATCCCCAGAATTACGCACTTAATCGACGCCTTAAAGACAGCCCCCGCGCTCAAGTAGTACATGGTCGTCCTTCCTTGTGCAGGTAGTTCAGCCCCCAAGCTAGATACTGTCCCACTCTCGCGACTCCTCAGCGAGCGAGGAGCGAGCTACAGTTCTAAGCCCTCGCCTCAGTTGGACCGCCACTAGTTTGCTACCTCCCTCTGACGAGACTGCCAGTTTGCTTGTTGGAGTGGCATAATCGGACTGCATGTACTTTTTGCTGACCGCGCTCGTGCCCATAAATAATTCTGCTCTCCTTCATCACATTTTATTCATTGGGAGCACATACAGTCAACTGCAACCCATCTCGTAAGGTAAAACGCGTAAAAATCACGAATGATGCAATTTCTGTGGTGCAAAAAGCTCGACATCACCTAAAAGCTGCACAGCTGCATGCCAAACCCGAATTCCGAACGCCTATGTGTTTGAATTTCTTTTTTCAAGGTTTTTCGTTCGTTATTTTTTTTTCATATTGTTTCTTGAAATGGATTTTGTTCGCCACTCGAAATGCCATAAAGCGATTGGAGCCGGTTTAGTGTAGCACGGACCGCAGGGCGTGTAACTGTGAGAGAGCAATTTTGTTTGTGGTGTTCTTGGAGGCTCTTGTTACTTTTTTCCTTCACTGAGGAATTACTTACAGCTACTTTCATAATTGATCAGCAATTATATTTGACACTTTTATCGCGGGAGCTGTCTTTAACGAGACCTGCCAACTTTTCTTAAAGCATAAGACCGGGCAAATCGATTTAACGATAAAGCCGGGGCAGAACAACTACTGACTGGATTTCTTGGGACACAGAATAAGCCCCTGAATGACCGCCAACTCCGACTCGTGAGCAAACAGAGCAAAAAAAGTGGGTTGGTAATGCCCGACCAACTACGGGAACAAACTGACTGGCTTTACGATCCCCTAATGAGGCCTATAGGAGGCCTGTGTGATTAGGCATTCTCACTATCCAAGTCTTACTGCCAGCAAGTCCCACTGTAGCATGAAAGGGACCGAGGAGCTCCTCCTCCTGGTGGACCCGCCAGTTTCCAAATTGTTCGATCTGATAATTATACAAGTGCATCAAGTGTTTTTTCACAGGAAAGGAGGGCAGGAGCGCTATACTCAATAATAGTAAAGCGATTTCTGGACCAAAGCGTAACCTAAGAGTGCCTTCTGCACATTTGCAAGTTGACGATTCAGCCACATGTGCCTCACAACAAAGCACATAATCTCGTTGTGAAAAACTTCTGCTAAATAATACGCCCACCAGGTTTTTTCTCCCCTTCACTCCCTACCTGCCCTCTTATAAACTTTTTCCTAAATTTTGCCATAGCGCATTAATGAGGGGTAGACACATCACACCTCGACTCGTCGATTACCGGAAACAGTAATTTTATCGCGCCTCCGGCTTAGGTGCGCCTGCAACGAGAAAAATCAGCAATCAAAAAATTTTTCCCAAGGGAAAAATACAACCCTCCAACCTTTCCCGGATGCTCAAATACGACTGGCCCTTATTTTACCCAACTATGGTAGGCCCCTCTCCACACTACGGCGACATTGCTGAGTTTAGAGGCTGAACATAAAAGTGATCCAGAGGAGTTCTAGCCATCCATTACTAGTGACAGTCATAAACATGGAATGTGCTTCTCAGAAAGAGATTCTGGATCCTAGACAATACAACGGGAACAAATCAAGTACCTACGGCTGAGAACTGTGGTGCTACTAATAGGAGTAGTAATGGAACTAGTGAGTAAATATAAAACAGGATGATCATTACTCGACAGAAGGTGTGCAGCTTTTGTCTCATCGCCGCGCAAGCAAGCAGCTCACAAGGGGAGAATGGTAGGTCGAATGGCGGCCGTTTCAAATGAGAGTATACCAACTGAAGGGGCGTGGGCCATGATTACGAAACCGTCTTTTATATCTGCTGCGGACCTCCTCGAAC